GGGCAGAAACTGAACCACAGGAAGTTCCATCTGAACCTGAGAAAAAACTTCTTTCCTGATAGGGTGACAGAGCACTGGAACAGGTTGCCCAGAGAGGGTAGTGGAGTCTCCTTCCCTGGAGATATTCAAAACCCGCCTGGATGTGATCCTGGGCAATATGCTCTACGTGACCCTGCTGGAGCAGGGAGGTTGGACTAGATATTCTCCAGAGGTTCCTTCAAACAACCTAAACCATTCTGTGATCATGTCTTTAAGCACTTGCTGACTGCAGGGGAGCAGAGTGCATGCATTGCTAAAATTGTTTTTACAAAACTTCACTGTACCATTCTGCTCCATAGTAGCCTAAAAGTGCAAGGAAAGTGGAAGGGCTTCAGGAGCATTTTCCACAAGACTACTTCTGGATAGAAAAAAAGTGCCCTGAAGTGAATTCCTGTGCAGCAAGAAAATAAACTGAATGCTAGATTCTACCTTAATACAAAATATAGTAGTGAAAGAGTGAAAAACTTAATGTCAGGTGGTCTTATGCCCAAAGAAGTGGAAAGAATTTCATTTCCTATGCTGGAGTTGGGGGTTGTTCTTGTCACTGAAAAGTTCTTCCTTTCTCAGCTTGTAACTTTTCTTTAAAGCAGTATTACAGGGAATTGGCAGCTATCTCCCTTTAAAGCCGGTGTCAGATGGCTGGAGCATGCCCCACTTACTTTGCTCTTGCTAGCTCTGCAAATGAGAAAGGGAGCATCCTGCAGTGATAATAGCATCCTCATTGAGTAGGTGATACAGTAGCTCCCTACAGAAAGAAGACGGAGATGCAAGCTAAGAAGTCGCACCAAGAATGTTGCAGCATAAAGGCATGATTAAACCACGTAATAATCTCCTAAGATAATACACGTAATGAAGAAGGGGACAGAATCAACTTGATGTATAAGGGATTGTTTGGGTGTACTTCTGCACAATTCTTGAAAAAAGCAGAGGAGACGAGGAAGCAACAGGAAGCTAGGTATGAGGGTAGAGGAGTGCGAGTATCGGGTAACTCACAGAAAAGTGGCAAAGGCTGCAAGAGCAGTAGGTATGAAAGAAGAGGAAAGGGGGCAAGAATTTGTTAGAGATGAAGAAAATCAAACCTGTGGCAATGGAAGTGGCTGAGCAAAGTGGCAGGTGCTTGGCAGAGCCGTCTGTGCGTAGGGAGGTCTGGAGGCAGTGGGAAAGGATTAGATGGAAGCATTTAGTGAGCCAGGAGCAAGGTGATAGTTGGCTGTGTCAGAGAGGGAAGAGAATGAAGCAGGAGTCTAAGCCAGATATCTGCTCCTTTTAGAGGAAGAGTTTGTAGCATCTATGAACAGGGAGACTTCTGGAAACTGCTGCATCTTGGAAGAAGGCAAACAAAGCTATTTTTTCTCAAAAACCAAACCAAACCAAACCTATTTCTGTAATCACTAAGCAAACAGCAAAATAGCAACTTAGAACAATTCATGAGAACATGGAACTCTTGACCTTTGATGTGAGAAGCAGCATTCCAAGTGATTTTGATGGGTACGTGGACTTGTAAGTAGCAATTTCACACTGCTGTTCTGTTTTGCAAAACATTTGCACTCAAGTCTTTGAGGAGTGCAGATTTCCTGCCATCTTAGGTTATTTTTAACACATTTCAGACCTTTCATGTTCAGGCTTTGAGTTTTTTGACTGCTCTGTAGCTATGGAAATGTCTTCTGCTTCACACTGATTATTCAGGTTTGAAGTCTTGGCCCCTTACTTTAAACTGATCAGTATGTATATATATTCTTTTATATAGGCCTACAGCTGAATTTTACCATGACCTGGGGAGACTCTCATTACCTAGGACTGACTGGACTTGAAGTGATAGGAAAGAATGGTCAAGCATTAAAAATAACTACAGAACAGATTTCTGCTTTACCCCAAGACTTAAATGATCTTCCAGAGTGTATGGGAGATTCCAGGACATTAGAAAAGTAAGTAGCAAAAGTTGGAATGTCTAAGCATTTTCTGCAGTTTTTTGCCTTGTGCCTGCTGTTTCAGTGGCAATCTGCTAGATATTTTTATCAACCAGGAGTTTTAGAATTTACCAATTTTAGATTTTACAATTTACATCAAATTTTATAGTGATAAGATTATATACACTTTTCATTATGGTTAACACATGTTAATACAAACATGATTTTTATACCATCGCTGCTCACTCTTAGATTTCACAAGCTACCCAGGAGCAGCTTGTTGTAGAAATACAGTCTTTTTTGGAAAAGACAATATTTGAATTAGGAGATGGTAACATGCCTGATGGGTATCTCTGCTCAGGACTTTCCAAGCAGAAATGTGTATCTACTGTAGCATCTGTCTATGCATATGCAGTGGTACTTGTCCAAGATTTCTGGAAATTTTCAAGGAAAATTTTCAAATTAGAAAAAGGCAACAACTTCTTAGGGAATTACATGGTGGCATTCTCACTCTTGGCAGTTCTGCAGCTTTTGTTTTTGCTATTTTCGTTGAAGCTTTATTCATTGACATGTGTGTTTCCTCAAATTACCTTGTAGTTACTAAATGGTAACAGTATAGAAATTGTAGAATGATATAGTTTTGGGGAAGACTTGGCATTTATTGTTATTGTAGTTGCATCCTGTTGTTTCCAGGTCATATCTCTATTTGCAAGAGCACTTTCAGTTCTAATCTTGTCTTCCAGCATGTTTATGGTCTGCTGTATGCGAGGCTTGTGATATAGGACTTCTCTTTTCATTCTTTGTTGAGTCGTCCTTAAAATACTGTGTTTATCCCCATGCACACTAACTCTGTTCCTTATTACAATTTCTGCTAATTTGACTAATAGAGATGTCAGACTTACTTGGCGGTAGTTCCCCAGTTCTTCTGAAAATTAAAAATTATCTTATTAAAAATTATTCTTACTAAAAATTATCATCACGCTTGCCACCTTCCCATCCTCTGTTATGAAGTCAGTTTTAAGGTTTCCCAGCACTGCCATTACAATGTTCAGCTGTTTCATCCCTTAGGAGTTCTAAAAGAACTAAGTGATATTTGCTGATCCTGGTGAACCAAGTCCTGTTTCTTCTGTCAATTTGTATGAAAATCTCTTTTCGTAGTCATAAAGATCTACGAGAAATCTTCTCATGAGTTCCCCTACAAAGAAGAGGTTCTACTCATGGAGTCTCTCCGGTTTCCACCACAATGAACCCAGATAGCCTGGTCTGACTGAATTTCTGACAGCCTTTCTGCTCCTGATGTTATTAGAAAAATTTTCCTTTTGATGCCTTTTGCTCGCTATCCCTCATGCTCTCTTTTGACCTATCTTATTTTGTGTATGCATTTAGCTTCGAGTTTGTGATCCTTTTTATTTTCTTTGATGTTGACTTCTGTTGAAAGATAACCTACAGTAACCTTCTTCATCCTGCCACTAAGCTAGGCTGGATTCTTTCTTTTTCAAGTCCTCCCTCTTTCTAAAGTCTTTCTTAGTAAACGGTATACATTTGTTCTGTGCTTGCAATATGATGTCCCTTAATATTCTATTTGCTATGTGTAAGGATTTTATTTTATTGTATCTTCCATTTAACACGTATCACTATTTTTGCCTAAGACCCTTTTTTGAACAGAAGCAGTAGGGGCTTTTCTGGCTTTTGCTATTCCTGCAAGCGTGTTGAAGTTTGAATACTCTACAGGGCTCTTTAACTGTAGCATTTTGAATAAATCCTGGATGCTATTCAGGACCATGTCAAGGATTATATGTTCTCTCATGGGCTCCCTAATCAATTCCTCTGTGAAAGAGTCATTAATCAAATCTATTTTTTAAGGAGCTGCCAAATCTAGCACTCTTTCTTCTACTGTACTTAAAAGTGAAAGTACATAAGGCAGCGTACAAAGTAAGTACAGTGAGGCAATGCCTTCATATTCTCCTTTACCCTGTGTTTGCGTGTCAATAGTTTGTGGTAGGAGATATGAGGTCAGAATTCCAAAATGAGGAAATAACGTAATTAAATTTCTCTAGTCATCCTGAAATCTGTGTCCTTCCAAGGAGGCATTGTGATACTGTTTCCCCTTTTTTTTAAAAAAGGAATATACCTAACTATGCTCATGCAAAAAGATATGAGCAAACTCTGCTTCTTCTCTGAGCTCTCCAGCTACCATCCAGCTCCTTGTTGGAATCAGTATAGTTGTGTTAGTGTAGTAATATGCTGCAGAGTGGCAGGTACGTTAGCTCAGGTGTGGAGCTGTATTGATAAGTTGTATGGCTTCTGAGCCTAAGCCTTTTACCTTTAGCTGTCAAGCAAATGTGACAGGGCTTTCCTCTGCCTGCCCCTGTTCATGTAAGCAAAACCTGAGGATTTTTCTGTTTTTTTATCTGAAACATATCCAACTCAAGGAAATGCTGTCTCTTTCCTCCCTCCCCATCTTTAATTAGATGATCACATATTACTTTTGATGTTTACTGTGCTTTTTAATTGAGTGCACATAGACATAATTAAGCCCTGTGGCGGCAAGTGGAAATTAGAAAAATTTTAGCACCTAGTAAAGCACCTGTTTTTCATGAGAAAAACAATCTTTTCTTTTTTGCAGCTAATGGATTTTTCTCTTTGCAGGTTAATAGATGGGACTAATATCACGGTTGAGGATGACCATATGTGGCTTATTCCCTTCTCTTTTGGAGAAGATCATCTGTTCACAATCTATTTTGATAAAATTGAAAGTATTGCAGGGCTTCGCTTTTGGAACTATAATAAATCTCCAGAGGATACCTACAGAGGGGTAAGTAAAAGAAAAGGAGCCAGCAAAAATACACAGCAGTGCTTTGGAAAATTGGTACTGTGATAAATGAATATAGCTATCTTAATGGAACACCATAAATCTTTCTAGATTGTCTGACTCTGAGTTTTGTGGCAGGTGTAATGCATTTCTGTCTCCACAAACAGCAAATATCGGGGTGGGGAGCCAGAGATTAAAGAAATTTTCACAGCTGATTTTTCCAAGAGACACATACAATAGCACATATTATTTTCAAGATATATGATGCTAAAGTGGTATCCTTTCAGTATCTAGTATTTGGGCCTACAGTAAGGATTTCCTGCAGCACAGGGCATGATCGAGCAGAGGACATACCTAAACATTTTCTACAGGAGAAAAGTTACAGAGAGCAGTATGTGTATGAACTTTGACCTGGGGACTTTTTAATTGTTTCTGAGCACCCTGCTTGTCTTAAGTCTGTCACTGTACAAAATGACAGTGAGCATTACCTTTCAAGAAAGCCTCGAGTATATTGGGTCATTGCTTCATATAGATGTTCAGCCTAAAGTAGACCAAATGAGTCTTACAACCCTCATCTTACTGTGCAAGGAGGAATAATGTCTTTAATTTCCTATTTAGGACACTGACTATAAATGTTGCAAAGCTGTTTAGTTAACTGTAAGATGTTAAATAGAGATTTGCTCTATCTTTATTAAACAAGGAGTATAATGCAATTTCTCTAAACTTGCATCATGAAATCTAAGGCTCTATTTTTATGGCCATGCCATACAATTTTCAAACTTAGTTTCTGTTTTTAAGTACGCTCCAGCATGGAGTTTATGGTATTTTAAACTTATGAACTCACCAGCCAGTTCAACAGAAAATAGCTACTGCTAGCAATGTTATTCTTGGTTGACATATGTGGATTGTATTGAGCTCAGTCAATCAGTACTGCCTCCAATATGCTCTAGGTGACCCTGCTTGAGCAGGGAGGTTGGACGAGATGATCTCCAGAGGTCCCAGCCAGTTCAACAGAAAATAGCTACTGCTAGCAATGTTATACTTGGTTGACATATGTGGATTGTATTGAGCTCAGTCAATCAGTACTGCCTCCTTGAAGAAGCAGAAAGAGCATCTAGAACTCTTATGTTTGTCTGGAAAAGTTGACATCAAACAACTCAGCTAAAATTGTTTGGCTAAAACAGTGTAACATACCTCCTCCCTTCTTTTTCCTTACTGTTTGCGTCAAATTTTTTTTTCTTTTCATATACTGAATTCTTGGAGTTAACTGGCAACTGACGCCTGTTAGAGAGCATATGCTACATCCAGCTAGCGCTCCGAGCTTGACCGTCATCCATTTCCCTGTTTTTTTTTCTCAGAAGATATACATGCAGTTGTAATGAGAATGATAAAATTGTTGCTGTTCACTGCACAGAAAGCTTATGAATTCCATATACGAAGGGAAATAGTTGGAAACATAACCTATGCATTCTTGACTTCCAAATTGAGTCAGTAGTTAAGAAGAAAAATATTAATACATATGAAGCTCGAGAAAGACAAGCTAAAAAGAATTAGTAGAGCTCTGAAAAAATCACTAGAACTGAAGTTGGAGGCTTGGATCCTTCATAGTACTGGGCAAGATAATGGCAGAGATCGTAGAACTGCTTCTCTGTGTAAGTTTGCCTTCCAAGATTACTTTCATATGAATGCTAACAGGAAGTGTTCCCTCTCCAAAACTGAGCCCTGGCGTCTTTTAACGTCACCGTGATGTGTTGCAGAGTGACAGTACTGGCCAAAGACTCCCAGAGGGCTAGGGTATGAGATCTCACGTTTAAGCTGCAACTGAGCTATAGACTTCCAAATTTGACACCAGATTTCATCATGCGTTGCATTAACCCAATGTTTTTGACATATGAATTTCAATCTCTCTGTGATTCTGTGAAAATAATGCAATATGAAGCACCATTTTTGAGGGGCAATGTAGAATATTTTCACTACCATTATGAGCCAAAGCCTCTCTGAGGCAGGGCAGGGGAGAAAAGTTTGAAAATGAATTTTAAAAGTTGGTGCGATTCAAAGCAAATCAATTCCCTGTATGTGGCTCAGCTATTAGAGAAGGAAAAGAAATAACCACATCCCTAATATCTAAAGTAGAATTTGGTCTTTGGAGGCCAAACCAAAAAGAAAAAAGGTATATTTTCACAGTTGTACTTCGCCAAATAACAAGAAGACGTGAGTCAATTAAAGTAAGTATGCAGGAGGCACACCAGTAAGTCTCATAGCAGTTAGTGGGTACAGCTTAAACGAGGGCCTCATACCTGCAACCCAATAAAAGCATGAATAAAATACATTTTCTGGAAAAGGGGAAAGGCAAGATTTCTGCTGGGTCACAACGAAGATGCCTTAGACTGAAAACTGTAGGGTGTCAGGACAGCTGTTCCTTCAAGTATTGTTCTTCTAAGCAGCAGTCCCCGGATGTAATAGTATAATGATTTGCTAGGCAGCTGTAGATTGGTGGATTCTATTTATAGGTTTAGTGTGAGAGGGTAATGGCAATGAAGTGTCAAAATGAAGGCTTATATGCTATTTCCAGCTATATGAAAAATTACCTTAGAAAGCTTTGTTATGTGCTGTGTAAAATGCTATGTTTGATGGTTGAGCACCTTCTCAGCTGATGAAAATTACTTAGAAATGAGGGCTGTAAGGCACACACAAATGTAAGCAGCTGTGGTATAATAGGTAAGGTTTCATCTTTAAGTCTCTAGACTTCCCCTTCAATACCTGTTCCCTAAAATAAAGCACATTTCAGTGGATTTGCACTTCATGTGCCAACTTGGCAGCCTGTTTCAAGTGGACAGCAGCATGTAGAACAGTTTCTAGTGTAAAAATGTTGCTTTTCCTTGCTTTCAAGCTTATTAAAGATGAAACCAGAAATTGTTATTTCCCCTTCCTTGGGGGGAAATAACCCTTCATTAATCTTCATTCTGTTATGGAACTGGAATGGATGCTGCTTCTATTCCAGTATATGCTTTTTTTCAAATCAAGAAATATATACTTAAAAAACAAACAAACAAAAAACCCACCCTCTTAGATTTGATTCTGGGATATTGCTTGTGTAACTTAATGAAATTATAATTGAATAAAAAATATTTTTAAAATGGCAAAAATATGAAAACTGTTGTGATTGTCAGGTAACTGATGATATATGTGCCTTACAGAAAGCCCTGAAGTTTTTGAGTTCTTCCCAGACTGACATCTGAAATGGAAATTTTAACTCAACTATACTTATTGCATATATTTTATTAATAGGAATTGTAACAATTAATGATGAAAGTAAAATATTAGCGTACAAAACTAAATTGACCTCAAATTATCATATATACGTATCAGTATAAAATCAAAAGATTAGAAAACTGACTCACGTTACTTTTAGGCTAAATTAAGACTAAGTTAATTTTATTAACTAAGTGAATCTATTCTGATTCAATCCATTAATCAGCAAGTTTTAATCATAATTATAATAGCATCTTGTTTTATTTTACGGGTAATATTCTTCCCTTAAGCAGTAGTTCCTGAAGGACCCAGTGCAGTACATGCTGCTTATAATTAACTAAGTCACATTTAACATATTTCTGAGCAAGATGCAATGATAACTTTTGCTGCATGATTGCGACTGTTATGTGACTGGGATCATGCATATAGCGTCAGATGGTGCTAATCGGGGAAGGTGAAGGGGTCAGGACTCCTTCATCTTCTGAGTAAGCGTGCCTGAATTATTTAATCTTCAGACATGCATGCATCTATGGTATGGACTCAATCCTTTTTGCCTGGAGTGGGTACCTCTCCTTTATTCATATGCCCTTATGTTACATACCAATGCCACTTGGTAGATGAGGTTGCATGATCCTGGAAAAGTCGAAGTGCCACCTGCCACAAAGACAAATGGAACTGGTTGATAGCAGACTTTCTACAAAGGCAGTAAAGACACGAAAGCGTCTCTCACAAAAGAGAACACCAGGTTATGTGATTTCTTAAAGTGCTTGAGCAATCTGAGCTGATCTAGCAATGCATTCAGGTACATGATAAAGTAGCTCTAACCATCTCCTCGAATACACCCTGGGGACGCGTGCTGAATTTAACGCTGAATCCCTCCATTTTGTTGATGTGCGTGCTTCTAGAGGCTCAGGGAGGTTCTGTTTTTTGGGGATCTAGTAAAGCTCCAATAATTAAAGGAGCTCTCGAAATCCTCCCTCCCACCCCAATCCCAGCCACTCCTGTCTCCATTTATCCTAGCATTTCAGTCAGTGTCAGTTATGATGCTCTGAATTGCACACTGTGGGTTACAATTATTATCTGTTGGTTTATGCATTCTTTTGCAAATGATGTTGTGTAATACAAGAATGAAATAAGTGCAACAAAATTACTGAAACAATTCTTCTAGCTTATGAAATGAATGTGGTTGCATTGGATCTATTTTATTCTGCTGCATTTTTTCTTTTTAATAAGGCTAAGGTAGTCCACGTTTCGCTGGATGGTTGCAGCATCTCCCCGCCGGAGGGCTTTCTTATCCGCAAGGGACCAGGCAACTGCCACTTTGATTTTGCTCAAGAAATTCTCTTTGTTGACTACCTGCAGCCCCAGCTGATTACTAGAGCACATAGGAGGTAAAGTAGGATGCTTTTGCTATCAAAACCACACAATTTCTCTGAATCATTTAGTATTCTTTTGTATTTTCCACTGAAGCACATCTATATGAAGCACCTGGAAGAAAACATGAAGTACTCAGAGCAAAACGTTGCATTGCATTTTTAAATTGCATGCTGTTTCCAAGGCTTCCTGAGATCAGAGGACAGCCTTTTCTGTAATCGGGGGCTTGTTGTGGAGTGGTTTAGTTTTTTTCCTCTGGTTTTGTTCTCCTCTTTTCTGAAGGAGCCAAGAGTGCATCGAGAAACTGGATTTTATCTTGGTTATTTTTGCAGGACTGGTTCAAAGAGAATGGAACAAGCTAGTATGGACTATGAAGCACCCTTAATGCCATGTGGTTGTATCCTTCTCTGTTGTTTTCTTCCTTGTTTTATTATACATAGTACCTTGGAATTATGTACTGCAGTTGTGAATCCTGACCCTTTTGAATCTGACAGTTTCTGGTGTTTTAGGGAAGTGAATAAGATACCACGAGTATGAGGATGGTATCATTTAATACAATTAAGAAGAAATAAATGGAATATATAATATATGAAGGTATGACCTATCTTTAGATAGCCTAGTAGCTTTCTTTTCTACCTTTTATAATCCATCCAGGGAGGAGCTAGAGTTCCACTAGCGTAGTATCTAGCAGTGCCTAGCAATTAATGACTATAGAAGAATACAAGAATATGAAAACCACGTTGCAACACTCGGGATGCTTTGCTGGTCCCCAGCAGTGTGCCGTTCAGAGACTGTCTAAGCCAGAAGCAGTCTTTGTATTTTTGCATACCTTTGAACTTTCTGGTTTGCCATTCTCTGCAATTTGTCTCATTTAATATCTTTTAGGTTGGGTGGACCGGAACTGTGTAATATGTTTGCCATTTTGCTTGTGGCTTTTTAAACTTACGTTTTCCTAAATAATCACAAACTTTTTTGATCGCACTTACTGTCATGCCATCCATCTCTTTGACAGCCCTTTTAAATCCGTGAGTTTGGAGACAATGAGGTCTCAGCGATGCGAGGTTTCTGGCAGTTTCACGAAAAGCATTGGCTTGGTAGAGGAGATGTGAATGAATGCTCTCATTGGAGAAAAGTCGGCAGCACGGATTCCATCATTATGTTTTCTGCCATTCAGTTCACACATATTAGATGGCCAGCTACCACGCAGAGAAGTCAAAACCTGGCAAATGCGTATACAGGAAGCATAGGAAGGCAGTGTAGGGGCTATGATGTTAGTAAGTGGACTGTATAAGGCGGTAGGATAGAAAACTGTAAAATTCATTCATTCTTTCATCTTACAGAAGAACATACATGCAGTCGACACAGCTAGGTAAGAATGTAAGGGACGTGTGTGTATATTCTCAGTGATAGAAATGGCAGAGTTCTCATCTCAAAAGAAAATTTATTCAATTAATTTTAAGACAGAGTAAGGTCAGACATGAACAACGTTTTATTTTTTCCAAGCACAGCATAATTAGATAATGGAACTTTTTGCCACAAGGTGTCACTTCAAACAAGGAAGGATTGAGACTGATTGGATATTAAGAACATTCAGAGTTGTAATACTAAATACTGCGAGTATTAGAAGGAAACTTCCCCCCTTCAGGGATTAAGTTGCCTTTTTTAGGGCCTAAAAGTATTCCTGATGGGTACATGCTCTACCATATCTAGCTCTACTAATGTTTCTTTTATATCTTTTTAAGAAAGCGCTAGGTAGTGGCTACTGCTGGAAACGAAGACTGATTGGATTTTTTCCCTAAATGTTTTTTCCCCAGTTTAGTCACAAATTGTTGGATTTGAATAAGAAATACTGGATAAAATTCTGTGGCTGTCAAGGAGATCTGACTAATCTGTCAGGCTGTATCTGCAGCCGTAAAGAAAATGGGCAGGCAGCCATTCTCTAACCTTGAGGCCAAAAAGCGTGCCACAGCTTGGATCCATTCAGCTAAACTCCTTTATTCTGCAATGCAAGGTGACCGCGTTCAAACTCCTCTGGCCTCTTAAGCTGTGAATCTCTGTTAAAAATATATGTAGCCTCCCTAGGTGTTTAGCTAACTAGTCCTTCTAGTGTCAGAATCTTCTCCTAAATGGCAAATGAGAATGTCTGTGCTATGTCTTTCTGAATAACTACTTTAGTGACATAGTTGATTGCTTTGTGTAAACTGTAGCAAAAGAATGACTGAGGAGATGAACTTGTAGACTATGTGATTGGAAATAGTTTATTTGGTAAGTTCTTTTTTCCCTAAGGCGTGTACTTAGGTTGCTAAGTCATTAAGAAAAATAATCAGACATTGAGAGGAGGGGATATCAGAAGAACACAGCAAGGCTCTATCCATTAATCCAGATTTTAGAAATATGTATGATGTGCTAGAGTGTGAGTTTACAGCCAGCTAAACCCAGTAATCACAATGTATACATAAAATAGGCTATAGAATAATTTTGGAAACTGCAAATTAAATATTATATTAGGATAAAATATCAGTATCAACATTTTCCTTAATAGCTGTTTGTTGTTAGTTATTTTCCAGTTTCAGCTTCTGACGAGTTGGGGTGATCCATACTACATTGGCTTGAATGGACTAGAGTTTTTTAATGAACATGGAGACCAAATCTTGCTAACTGAAAACAGTATCCTTCTACAGACGGAGCCTCGATCCCTTTCAGATATGCAGTTTGCTCTCTGGCAGACTGTCATGATAATCACTTGCTACGTACTCAAAATTGCCAATGAAACCCTGCCTGGTTACTTTGCTTGGATTTCTCTGTATTTCAGTGATGATATTTATTTTCATGCATTTTAATCTATTCTGTGTAGTCCTCATGCTATCAACAAAGTAAACTGGGCTTATCTCAAGATTACTCTTCAGCACTGATTAGCAAAAAGTTAGTCTTTTACCAAAGCAAGTTTACCAGATTAATACTGCTAAGGGAGGTACATCCCGCCACCTCATGGTGGACTTAGTAGAAAATGCAATGTGACACTACCAGTTTGTAATAGAGAATCCACTCTAAGAAACCAGCTGTGAGACTGAGAGACATCTCTTAGTACATTTGAATCAAGAAAAACTGCTGAGTTTCCACCATCTCTTATTTTTAGGTTCTTATACAGGCATTACATGATGTCTTTCATTTGATTGTTAAGCAGCGCTAATAATAATTCTTGCATTTCCTTCATTCCAGAGAGGAAAGTATATATAGCAAGGTATTTTTATTTTGGAATTCATGTGTGCTAATAGGTATTCCTATGTACTCGTCTTATGCCAGGCAAAAAGAAAATTCTCACCTTACATTTAGCAGGTGATGATGAATCTGTGGTCCTTGACTCACTATGGGAGTCTCGGGCTCACCTGACGAAACATTATTTTCAACAGAAATGAGGTTTCTCTCTTTCATGGGATCTTTCATTGTACCACAGGAAACGAATTTTTCATAACTCTTGTTCTGGAGCTTTAGGCTATTCTAGGCACCTGGCCCAAGTCATAAAGATAAGGGCTGAGACTGAATTTGATTCTGGGTTCCCTGGGAAACCAATGGAGGGAATGAAGGACGTATCTGAAAGACTCATAATAATCAGGGTTACTGAAGAGTTATACTGCAGTGCTCTATACCAGCTAAAGTTTCTTAAGAGCTGAAAGCTTCATGTCCAAGAATATAGTTAGATAGTTTGATCACATGGAAGAAACAGTTTCTTAGCCAACTAGAAAGAATAAAAAGTGTATACAAGCTACAACGAAAAAGGTAAAGACTCTTGTCTGAGCATTGTTTTTATTTATATGTTCCTTGATGCATGATGAACTTGGAAAAAATAGAGCTGTGATGGAGAAGTAGTATTTTGAAATTGAAAAGTGGCAGTAGATTGTCTTTAGGGAGCAGGGGTTCTTCAACTTAAATGGTATATCTTTACAGCATAATGCAATTGCCAAGTAAAGGTACCTCAGCTAATTTTGAATGATCTTCTGTTTCTGTATCTACAGTAACACTGCTTGGATATGTTAGGGTCCCAGAAAGAGCACATCTGTATTCATGCAATGCTAAATGTGATAATTCCGCTACTGAGTCTGGAGCAAGCTTTTCTTAGACAGTTGAGGCATCGCTGCATCATCCCTTACATTCTTTAGAAATACCTACAGGCTCAGGCCTTTTAGAAAGCAGGACAAGAGGAAATTAATGTCCCTCAAACTGGGTTGCTAGGGGTTTATAATGCTGAAGATATTGCCATCCATCTACATTCCTCTGTGTGTCTTTAACATGGATGTTTTTTTAACATAAGATGTGCCTCATCAGTAGAAAGTCTAATTATCTAGAAAGCCTGTTCAGTAGAAGGTTTATTCTTTCCCTCTAAACTGATTGAAGGCCTTACTACCCTTCAAAAAAAGTAGCTAGGCAGTTATTGCACTTTTTTTTTTTTTAATATCACAAATCTCAAGGAACTCAGCAAAACCTAGTCAGACTGATGCCTATTTCCTGCAGCAATATTCTCCTTGAGATATATTTCATAGGAAGAGTTTTCACTAGTTCATGCTAAAAAATGGGCTTTTGTCACAAAAAAAAATAATAGGAAGTTCTCATCCTTGATAAGGGAACTTTATTGATAAAGTCATAGATACATTTAATTTATTTTAAAGTAAGTATCTACTTAATTTCTTAGCATTTTAAAAATAATATTGAGTGCCATTGCATCTTGCCCAGAAATATGTTAAACATGACTTAGTCAATTATAAGCAGCATTGTCCTGCTTATGGAAATGGATTCCCAAAATTCTTGACCACTGAAGTAAAGTAGTGTGAAGAATTTTACCATTTGTACTACTCAGGTGGAGAATACTTGCTCATGGAATCTAGAAGAGCAAACACAAACTTTAAAATATGATATTTCTGAAATGACCTTTGCAGTTATTTGAGCTTAAGGTTTTGTTTCAGATATTGCTGCTTTTCCAGATAGCGTCAACATTTTAGAGGATGTGTCTGGAGACATCCGAACTCCAGACAAACTCATTGACGGAGTAAATGACGCAACTGATGGCAGACATATGTGGCTTGCACCAATTCTTCCTGGTGTGGTATGCTTGTCTACCTACATTTTCCTTTTTCATTTCATTTTAGTGATGTGCATAGAGGTAGCTAGAAATATAAAGGTAAGGGAAGGCATTTATAATTTTTAGGCAAATTTGATATTAGTAAAAGATGCTGAATGCCTCTCAGAGATTCTCTCTGTTCCAGTTTCTGTCCATGGCACAGAGAGCAGCTGTTCAGACTTCCAGCTTTATAACCTCCTTGTATCTCCATATTGCCACAGCAGAATAATTTCTAGTGATAGAGTCAGTGTGTTTTCAGTTGCTTTGATAGTTACTGGCAAAGAAGTTTAATATGGATGTTTTGTGCAATAGATGCCTGTTTAAATGGGATTGGGCTGAGCTCTTGAATTGCTTTTTAAGAAAGCAACAAAGGTTCCAACAGTGAACTTTTTTTTTTTTTTTTAATCTCATTATCTGGCTTGAATTCTAATTCATAAATGAGAGATGACAGTGTTTCATATCCTAAGGCCCCAAGCAATTCGGCCTTTTTAGAAGCAGCGTGTTTAAAATATGGGGCACCAGACATCAAATAAGGAAAAGTAGATAAAGTCAGAACTCATCTAAGTTTAAGTTCTGGGAGAAGACACTTTTGTGCTAACTTATGTTGGACGTTATTAACAAGTATTTATTTCCTAGAAGAAGACGGATTTCAAAGGTAACAAAATGCAAATCTAAGGTGTGATATAATATAACTTACTGTGTTGGGAATATCTCTACTTCAGAAGTTACAGTTCTTAGTTCTTTGCTTCTGATAATCTAAGTAATTCAAATTTGAAAATTAATTCAAATACCGTTAGATGCTCTAGTACAGTGGATATAGATGAGATAAAGCCTTTATGCATACTTGAGACTAGTGACCAAATGCGTTTCTTAGGGAAGCAGAAGGTAATACTTTTTGTAATGCTTGAGGCTCCTAGTGTCTAAATCTTACATCTTGAATGCTGGTAAACAGCTTGATAGGATGCTCAGGTGTCCATTGTAACGTTGTGAATGATTGCCCTGACAAGCATCTGAGTTTGTACATCTGCTATGTGCTAATCACTGTATTTTATATATTTTATATTTTATTTCATTTTGGCAAAAAAAAAAACAAAACCCAGTAACTGGAGTTCTTGCGTAGACGCATGCTGTTTTGTAGAAGGTGGCATTATATCTAACACCAAAGCACAAGAGATGAGCACAAAATATTAGTGTTAAAAGGGTGAATGGATAAAATGTGATAGGCATGAGGGAAGAGTAAGCGATTAAATGGTCCTTTCTGGCTTTAAACTCTAGCAAGTGATACCATTTGTAGATCCACATAATGATTTTCTCTGTGCCATCTTTCATGACTTGATTGTAAAGCCAGGAAGTACAAATGGCCTAAGCAAGCAGCGTATTAACTGTTATCCTCTGTAGTTAGGATGCTGGAGGAAATCTTGTGTGTACTTAAGTCCTCGTTACTACGCTGCTTTGAAACATTCCAGTGGCCTAGAAAACAAAGTTACCATTTGCTATGTTGGGAAGCTAAAAAAGCTTTAAGAAAATTTTATATAAAAACCTTTCTTTTCATTTCCAATTCTCAGTGTTTCTGTCTTTTGCGAATTTATGACCGTTATATGTTTTGAATTCCTTGTTATCCTGTTTCCGATTGCCTGTTTGTTTGTTTGTTTGTTTGATTGTATTATCCATCAGCGTTTTCTGTGAGACTAATAACAGTTGCTACTGAGATCTGAACCCACATCTTCTGGAGAATCACAGATAATAAACACTTTATTAATCCCACCCAATTCTCAGTGCAGAAAATGCATCATGGTTTAATACAAATACAGTGTTGTCTTTGAAGAATCAAAAGATTAAATCGTGGAATTCACAGTAACAGCTAAGATTGGTTTCCCATATCCTCAAATTTGTTCTTGATAATTTCCCTGAAAGCAAAATGAAACCGTATCTCAAGCCATAATTGTTTGGCAAGGCTCATGAGAATTGTCTCTACATTGCTATTTGTGTACCTTGGACCAAGGTTGCAGAAGTTCTCCTAAGAGCTTTAAAGCTCAGGGGTTATAGAAAGATGGATTCCCGGTATGTATATATCTATATGTATGTAGATGCATGTACACACGTGCACACATGCATGCACCAGTTTATCTCATCCTGATGCACATTGTCTGTATTTGGTTGATGAAATGATCATTAAAAGCATCTCTTTCCCCAACTGACTAGGAGTCCAGGATGACAAGCTCAGATGTAGATTTCTGTCTCTGATGGGCTATACGTACTTTTGAGAGGACAGGTGCGGGTTAGAAACAACGCCTGAGAATTATCAACAGATAATAACTGAACTTAAATCCTTAGCCTCAGTTAGCTGTCCTCTAGCTATATCTATTTAAATACAGTCTACTTTTGATAGCTCATATGTTAGAATTTCATTTCTTTTGGGGATTTGTGCTCTTAAATGTAAATGAATTCTTCTTTTACAGGTGAATAGGGTATATGTTATTTTTGATGTGCCTACTACTGTGTCAATGATCAAGTTATGGAATTATGCCAAAACACCGCAGAGAGGTGTGAAGGAATTTGGTGTAAGTAATTTTGTATGCAGTTTTGGTGACTGAGCTTGCTGTGAGTTTTATATTTATTTTCACAGACCACTAAAGTGTGATTCTGTATAATCTCTAACAATGGGATTCATCTCGCCCAGCTCTACGTTTTAATACTAAAATGACTAGCTTATGCTGGCCTTCTGCGCTGCCTTTCTTGTTCAAGGAGAGAATGATTTATCTGATCTTTCTTAGAAAATTGTCTTAGGATAGTGCTTTCCTTTCTGCATTGGCTATAGAACAGGCCTAGAAGACTAGTTTAGACTACATTCCTAGCTTGTAGACAGCTGAAGTAAGGTGAAATTCATTCATTCCAAGATTTAAGTGATTCATTCTAGTCGAGAAAATGCCATTTTTGTAAAACAATGAAATATATTTTAATTCCCTACTTGGATACTTCATTAGAAACAGTCAGGGAGGAGACAAAAACTGCAGAAAAAGAGAGAAAGCACCCGACTGGCTAGTGGAGACAGATAGCAGTTTTAAAGAAAAAAAGCTAAACTAATGACTGAACTTGTAAAACAAGTTGGGCAAAATGATTTCTAGTTAATTGATCGAGAAGAGTGCTGAAAGCAATGCTGGCTCGTTCAGATACTGTTTTTTCCCTAGTGATTTTTTATTTCCTTGAACAAATTGATTCCTAGATTTTTTTTTTTTTTAATCTGTTTAATATCTTTAGCTTCTTGTGGATGACTTGCTTGTGTACAATGGAATCCTGGATATGGTGAACCATGTAGTATCAGGCATCCTACCCACCTGTGATCCGGTGGTCCCGTATCATACCATTCTCTTTACAGATGATGAGAAGATTTGCCATCAGGAGAAGAGGACTATTATTAGGTATGGAAGTGGATCTTTATTCTAATAAACTATCTCATTTTCCAAAAAATGTTTTTCTGTGACTAAAATCAGCAATATGTGTATTGCTATAGAAAATTCTCTTCTAAACTATACTCCATCTCACTTACGGCAAATAGTCAATCATTTTTAATCATTGGGACCAAGTAACCAGCTTTATTTTTACTGTTTATTAGGATTCTTGATGCATGTTTACATATGCTTTCATGGCAGCCTATGATAATAAATACAAAATAAAGAAGTTAAGCTTCCTTAGAGAAGAAAGAATAAACCCCAATGATTCTACATTATAAAAAAATTAGGAAGTTAATGAAAAGGAACCAAACATCAAAAATAGTCTTCTGATTTGGCATAGGTACTAGTTAAGGAAAGGAATCAAAATTCTATTAGTTTAGAAACGTTCTAAAATAATGAACATTTTGAATAAGAAATGAGTTGGAAAAATAAGAATGACCCTTTCAAACCACTAAGTTGGCGATCTTATACATTCATAGAAAATATGATGAAATACGGTGAAAAATACAATCACAAAACATTTAGAACATCAGGACTGATAAGAGTCAAAAAAACAGTCCCTAGGAAGGAAAATAAAAATTGAAAGAAGAATTTATTTTGAATGAGATTAAAAAGTGAAAAATTGAAGACTTATAAAAATAAATACTTTCTCATATAGAGAACAGTTAACAAGAACAACATTGTGCACATACATCATTTAAAAAAAAATTACAACTTTGCATTCAAAAGGGGCATATGTTTCATTCACAAGCATATTAAAATATTTAGAAACAAGTTAAGAATCCTGGAGGGAATGTAAGCTGATTCAGAACAGAGGTTCGCATCCGCCTACTCTGGTGTTTCCTTTATTTTTCAAAAACATTGGCTGTTGGCCCTGGTATGGTCAGATGCTGTAATAAATGATTATTGTTTGGATGTATTGTGTTAGACTCATGGTTTTCGTACAAATGGCTGTGTTGTCCTGGTGAATTTTGCAAGTAATCAGTTTTTCAAATGAAAAAGTTACTGAAATGAAAACGTCTTGAAAAAAATATCAGTGTTTTGAGAAAATGTCCACTGGGAGACAAAAGTGAGGAGGAGAAATAAATGTTTATTTCTTCAGCTTTAACACCTTTATATGTGTTGAAGCTGTTTTATTGGAAGGAGATAAGCTCCGGCTGTAATTGTAGATCTTGTAGATCTCTTTTGTATAAATGCAAAGCAATCACAACTTCCTTTGGATGTATTTATAAGACACACATCCTTGGATTTAGTTGTAAGAAGTATATCCTTTTTGGATCACCCATGTTGCACAATCTGTTTTCCAGTCAAGAATACGCTGAGTCTCTTCCCTTCCAGACTTCCTGTGCAGGAGTTTTCTTGGTCTGTCTTCTCAGTTAGCCTAATTTTAATCTTCTCCTCCTTTTCTTCCTATAGTACCCAGCTAAGGTATAGAGTTAATTTGGCAATAGAAGACGAATCTCTTTCTACTTGCTGGGGGATGTTCTTGCTTTTTTCATACACGATTACTTCTGATTTTGGCATATTCTCTTTAGCATGTCATTATGCAATATTTAGTGACCCCTGGACTTCAGTCTGATACTATCATCAATGGAGTAAATTCTGATTTACTTCAGTATCAATTCTCCAGGTTCAGTTTGACATTTTGAGATGCACTACATTCTTCTCCGAGAATAGAAAGCTAGCGCATGCAGTATTTATAGAGGAAAGAAAAATACACTTGTTATTTTCTGAAGGCATGGCTACTCTGTTTTTGTCTGTGTGAAAGGTAGATGCTATTAGTGATGTTTTCTTTAGCTTTCAATTCAGCTGACATTTATTCTGTAATTTGTTTAACTGAATTTTAAAGCTATTGCTTCCTTCCCAGAAAGAAATTAAGATTCTGCAACAGCCTGCAAACAAAAGTAGTCATGGTGAATGAATTTTGTTTAGTTTGGAAAATTCTGAAATAATGCTATATCAACATTACAAAACAGCATTAAGTTCCACACAGGGATTTGCGCTCTCATTGTACAGCGTTGATTTAAAATCTCACTTAGGTTAATGTGGCTCAAGCTGTGTGTGCAGGCAAGAATACTGTAGAGTGAATGCAATGTTTATATTTGAATGTGTACCTATGACACTAATTAAGATTGTGAATAAATACTTCAAGTAGATGTGGATAGAATGCCTTACCTTTTTAGATAGTCTCGTGTAATGTGGTTGTGCTTTGTAAATTTGTTTAGCTTCATGGACCTAAATAACATGTTTGGTAACCTTTCCCATGACTGTCATGACTTCTCATGATATTGAATTTTGGCCATTGAACTGATTTCAATCTTTTCAGCAATCATGTGGGGGATCAGGATGTACGAATGATGAATGAAAATCAAATTGTCACAAACACCAAAAAGAAGCAGGTTATGGCTGATCCAGGTTCGTTCTGTTTTTTGCAATTTTCTTTTGCTCATTTTCTGCAGAGACAGTATGGATAACAGGCATTGTTAGGGAGCTGAACTGTGAAAAATGGGGAGAACTGAACCTCCTTTATATTTTCAGCTGTACTTTTTCTGTCGTAGGAGGGCAAACCTGGACTATCATAATTGGATGGATAATTTCTTTTTTTCCTGTATCTAAATCTGAAAGTGGGACCTCTATGGAACGTAGAGGTAGCTTCTGTCAGCACATACAAAGATGTCCTTGGGATAGAAACTGACTTAAGGGAAACTGAAAACTGGTAAAATTGTACAGGTTCAAAGACAGCTTTCCAGTTAATAGGCTCAGTGCATCACTAATTAGCTGGTTGCTCCTTCTCAAGCAAACTCAAAACCACAGTAAGCGAAACTAGGGAAAGCAAAACATTGACGTTATCCCTGGTTGGTCTTTTCCCTTACAAAGTGATAATTGAGAAGAGAGTGTTTTTCCCCAGCCCTCCACACTGTGGGGAATACTAGGTTTTATTTATAGCCTGAAGAATCGCAGTCATTCATAGTATTTAGGGGAGCTATTCTGAGTAATTTACATTACGAATTCTCAGCCAAGCCAGTATAATCATGATTGGTTTTCTTCCTTGAGTGTGACACTTTCTCCAATTAGTTTCTCTAGAAAGTGTTAGAGAAATTATTCAATGGCTTTTAATAACAGTGCTGTAGGAGAAAGATTTGAAATGCCATTGCCTGTGCAAATATAGCTTCAAAGTTATTGGTACATTAGTACTAGCTCTGTTAAAACTCTCCTAAAAGCAGCTCTGTGCGTGCTGTAATGACATCTTGAGTTGCAGTGTAGACATACCCTGCAGACATCCAGTAAAGAGTAGTTGTCATTGCTGTCACATCTCTAGTCCAAGCATTAAGGAGACAGAATACCTTTTTCCTCACTTAAAAGTGGGTCAGGCCTCATTTGTCACTTTAAAGTCGTCAGATGAGGATTATCTGTTTTCGTCTGTCCAATGTCTCCTCTGTAGCACTTGCTGATACCACTGCTAGAGTGGTTAATACAGGATCATAGGATGATTTGGATTGAAGGGAACCTCAGGAAGTTTCTGGTCCAACCTCCTGCTCTGAGCAGGGTCAACATTGAATTCAGACTGGATTCAATAGGAGAGGTTCCATGAGACTGTTCTCATAGGGAAAAAGATTTTGCATATTTTTCTTCTCAGTCTGATCATCCTCTTTTTTTGAAAAGGATTCTCCTTACCCTGTTGCCACATCCTTTATCTTCCTTTATTTTATTTTTTTTTCCATATCCATCCTATTCCCTAAAAAATAATCCCAAACCCATGATAAATTAGCCACATCTGGTCTCTGAAGGCAAATCACTAATGTCAAATTTTTAATCAAAATGTTGCTGAGAAGGTGGTCCACAAGAAACAGTGAGTGATAGCGTGCTCTGATTTAAAAGGGAACCACAGTGTTGTTCTGCCACAGTTGCTTTCCGTGTGATCTGTCTGATTTGACTTCTGCCTCCGTTCTTAGCCTCTGTGCTGTCCATTGCAGGACAGAAACTGGTATGTAATGTCCACAAATGCTTTTCAGCCTCCAATTAGAAATGGAATAAAAAATTATGAAATTACCTCCTTATCCTGATTCAGCTGGATGCTGTTCCATATCCTGGCTCTTGGATTCCTCCATCTGTCAGGGAGAATTTGGTATCACTCACTTTTACTGAGACTCATTACTGAGAAGAGTAATCTCTCTCCTTCTCTCTGAGGTGGAAAGAGAAATGGGCATGTTTCTTTCTCTTTTTAGTTTGTGACTTCACTGTTTAATACAGAAACAGTCTTAAAACAGCACTTAATTTTCCTTAACAGCTTTACGTCCAAAAACCTGCATATGCGATAAAGGACTACTGAGGAGGAAAAGATAACAAGGGATTGCGTTTGGAAAGTCCTGAATATATCCAGTCCTAGATATTTGCCATCTAGTTCTCCAGGATATGCATCATCTGAATAGAAGATATTTCCTGCGTGATACTGCTGAGCCTCCTCTTGTCTTGTGAGAGGAAGTTTTATTCACTACAGGAAATGTTGTTCAGTAATGAATTTTGAAGTATGGACTTAGTTTTCTGGGTTTTTTTTTTTATTATTTTTTTATTTTTATTGTCATCATATCTATTGTCTGAATTGTTTCCCCTCTTGATTGAAAATCCAGGGAGGAAGGAATGTAAATGAATACAAACCTTATTGCTAGTTGATGCCTGTTCCTGCCAAGGACCAAGAATTTGGGTGAAGCAAGGATGGTCATAGCAAGAAGTTTTACAGAGCATCTTTCAGGCTTTAATTCTTAAATGCTAGCTGGCTGATCACAAAGCTCCCTACTAGACGGAAGCTTCTGCTGTGTTTCTGTTCAAGCAGCCTGTAAACAGTTCTTTGGAAAATGCACTTATTAGGATAAATATTCTCTATCTCTGTCTGGGCTGCCACTCTACCTTTTCATGCCCTGGCTCTATCCATGAACTGACATTGGAAGAGTTTCCCTTGGGCAGCAGAAGTGTGGTAATTGCCTTTAGAAAATGGAGACCAGGAAATGGGTTTATCAAGGTTTGATAAGTAAGTTTCAGCTGTCACTTCTGTTACTTTTTACAGTGAAATAAGGATTTCTTCCATTATTTCACTATCCTGAAAAAAGCAAAAATGTGCTTTGTCTGAAGTCCTATCCACTGGCGCTCTACGATTCCTTCAGAGTCCTACTGCTATAGAGCAATACTCTCTTCTCCTACTTTACCTGCACTTGGTTATGTGAACAACGAGGACATACCACTGTGCTGCATCAACAAGATCTGTTGCCAACAACAGATCATCCCCTTTGAGAAACACCAAAGGCATGTTAGCTAGTAGGTGGTGATGGGTTAACTGCATTTTGAAAGCACACAATACCCTGAATGTGTAGACAGATAACTGAAAACTCTTATCAAATAATCAGGTTGCAGGATTTATAGCTACGCAAATGTACTTCTCACTGAAAACTTATCAGTGATAACCTATCAATCTCTTCATTAGAAAAAATTCTTCCTTTCCCATTTAGAGTCCCCAGTTTTCAGAGAAGTGAAAACTCTGAAATCAGTGAATGCTTTTAGATGTGAAAGAGAGACACTATTGCAGCTCCTGACAGAGCAGCCAAAAGTATTGCTTTTCTTTCTATACTACATCAGGAGTGCGATATCTTGTATATATGCTTTAAAAAGTGTACTTTGTAGCTGTTGCCTTTTAAGCAAAATAGCAATGCATTTCCCAGATTCCTGTGCATTGATGAAGCAGCAAAATATATTTTGTACTAAATGCAAAACACTTTTTACTTCTAAATGTCGATGTATATTTCTTTATAATGTCAATAAAAGTTACAGAATTGAATTCTTGGTATTCTAGTTATTAGTATGATAAATGCTGTTCTGTTAAACTGAAATATATAAATAAAAAAAACTTTTACAAAGGTTGGTTAAGAGCTTGGTTTTCTATAAATTGTTAGCTGAATGAAAATGCCTCTTGGCCATAGGGGGCATTTGTAGTAATTATTAAATATGTGGAACCTCTTGAACTAGCAGTATTTCCTTTCATTGCCAGGCTTTCTAGAATAGGAAGTGCAACCCATCATGATAAGGTGAAATTGGAATAACGCATGTGCAAGACTTCTCTGAAGAACATTGGCAGAGGTTGGATGAATCAAAATAAGGATTGTCATATTCCAGGCAGGCAAAAAATTTTTGTTCTGAGGTTACCCAACAGCCAGCAAGAAATCCCGAGTGAATGTGAGTATATCTTACTCTGTTTAAAGCCTCTTCCCAGACAGCAATGGCAAAAAGAACCCTTCTGCTGTTCTTAGAACTGTCTGGTAGATACAGCTCCGAAGAGAAAAGCTTTCCATTCAGCTCCTCCTCCTATTGAAAGGGCTAACAACAGATATAAATGTGCTTAGAAGAAGAGAGGCTATAGAAAGGCTTTTAAAACTTAAGGCACGATCACAGGTTTGCAGAATACACCATCTGTAGATGAGAGGTCTTCCATGTTGTCTGTTTTTCTGAGAAAATTGTATTGAACCTGGAGAGAAATGGGTCTGGGGAAACCCATCATGTCCATCCCAGTGCAGAGCAGCACCCTTATGGATCCAGAAAAGGTGTAAGGGGAAGAGAGGACTTTCTCTACTCTCTACATCTGGTTGATTCCAGAGCATCTCACATCCTACAGGATAGACTCCTAATGTTTTTCCAGCCCTAGTGCTGTGAGTCATGCCCAGGTTTTGTAAACTGATGCAAAATACATGATGGTTCTCAAATGGGTCCTAAACAAGGCTGTGACCTTCATATGAGAAGTATTTTAAGGCTCCTCCTCTGGCTGACTCTGCTATATCACTATCAAGCCCTATCTTCAATAGAGGATAATGGGGATGGTCTTTAGAAAGAATTAACAGGTGACCTTGTCAAGGTATGTTCGTGGTCCAGCTGTCATGAACTGTGACTGAAAGACCTGGCAGAAGTAGAGACTAGGGCAGCTTTTACTACCCAGGCTAATTCACTCAGGAGCTCTGAACTAACGGTTGGAGGGAGGTGGCTGGTCACTTCCTTATGTGCACCACACCATCTAGTTAGTCACAGGATACAACTCTCTTTTTGTCTGACTCTTTGCCACTAATGTTTCTTCTCTTGTTGCTTGGTAACTGTAGCCAGCTTCATGCCTTCTGCCTGGCATGCAGTGTGCTGGCTTGTACCTTCTCACAACTTCTGGGGCTCAGAGGAACAGCAGCTCCTTTTACCCGTTCAAGAGACTCCCCACAATTGCCATACTGTGGAGAGACTCTGAAAGTCTTTTTAAAATGCTATCAAGAATGGTTAAGTTGTGGAACATACTTCCCTGTAGTGTTTCTGAGAATTTGCCAGCCTTCAATCTGCTCTGGGATGACATGTCACCAAGGCAAGGCCTAATGAAGTCCTTGACTCTAGTCAGTCATACGCTGAGAGTGGCATGATGTTTGGAAAATACTTCATTAATCTCTGCAGGGTAGGAGATGTCAGCTTCTGCCGTCCTAATCAGATCTGAAATGTGATAAAGGGAATGTGTATACCCTTTATGTAACCACAGGTAATTAAGTGTCCTACTCATCCCTGTATACTCAAACATAGTACTCTGTGGATGCTAGACTTATTTCCCTAGTGAATCAGGGGAAAAATCAAGTTCTATTTCATTTTTCACTTTATCACACCTACATTCATGTCAGACTAGTACTTACAGGAGGAAATAGAGGAAAAGTAAACACGCAATCAAGAAAAATTCCCATAGTGCAATCCAGTTGATGTCAGGCACTGCTTCGGTAAGAAAATCCTCAGGCGGCAGTCACATGTTGTTTGACATTGCCAAAAGCATGACAAAGGAAAAGAAGGATTAATATGAGTTCTTACTTAAGCCTTTAATGTAAATGATTAAATTTTAGATTTAGCCCAGTTCAATTTCTGGGCCACTCAACAACTTTCACGTAGTTGCTCACCTTTACTGGTAGTGCCTTACTTTAAAGGGATGAGATCAAGATAAAAGAAGTGAATTTGTTTATCCCGCTGCAATAGCAAGAAGGGCAGAGGATAAAGAAATAATCTGCGAAGGACCGCATCTCATGCTGCATACTTTTGATGTTTAAAAGAAGAGATTTTTATAAAGGTATTTTTATCTATCTTCACATGGAATCTGAGGACCAGAGTGTGTGGGAAGGCCTAAAACTTCAGTTTTCAATTTCTGCCTTTCTGTGGCTTAATCCAGTAGAATTTAAATAGCACTTCCTGGTGAGAAGCACCACTTGGTGGACAAAGAAAGTGATGAAGACAGTGTAACAGTGCAGCATAGAAAAACGTGGAAATTTCTCTATTAATGAGCCCAGAGAGGATATGCAGAACTCTAAGGTCTGTGATGTCAATTAGATCTTGTGTCACATGTTTCTGTACTTCCTCTGTGCTGCTTTCTCCTTAGGGAATATCCTAAGCCTGAACCCTACTGCTCTTTGAAGACGAACCCGTAAGATAGCTGTTTTGCTGAGGAGCTACATAAGGTGGCTAAGTTAAACTGACTCAGTTTTCACCTGTTCTCAGGGCTCAGGCTGTAAGAACTTGGACATTAAATTGCACTTCAGCATCCTGCTTAGTTGATGCTCTTTTCTACAAAATTTCCTAGTCCTGCTGGGCTTTTGCCAGGATCCTGGGGTGTTAGTCATTCCCCACAGTGGTGTTCAATCCTATCAGTTCAGGGATGCATGCCAGATTTGTAACAATTGCAGGAACCAGGCAGTGCAAACGGATGCCTGGGCCTTGTGAGATCGGACACAGTCTTGGAGTACGAGGTAACAATGCATTCTGAACACCACCTGCTCTGGCTACACTGGAATGACCAGAGATAGTGGCCACTGCCAGTGATGCTATGAGAATGAGCGTAATGGATGAGGGAGGTTGAATGTTGAGTCTTTAAACTCTTTTACAGCAACAGGAAAAGCTCACTGCGCAGCCTAAATCAGGTAGGAGCAAATGTAAAGTGCTGTATTGATATCTCAGTTCTGGCTCGTGCAGGGGAGGAAATCTGCTTTCCCTTTGATTTAGACAATTGCTTCTACCTCTGCAAGAGAGAAGCATCTCAGGGAATCCAGAAACATTTGTCTTCCTGCTCTGGGGTATAGACCAACTGAGAAAGAGAAGACAAGTGGTTATATGCCATGAAAAATTTTGTGGTGAAATGAGGTGGATTTGCCATTAGTAACAGCCTATGTTTTGCTCAGCTTCCCATTTTTCATTCTTTGATCTTCTCCCTGGAGTAGGAATGGGTGGTGGGAGCAACATCTGCTCCATTTATGTTGTTGATTGCTCTTGTAGTTTGGACCTGGGAATAAGGAGAAGCTTAAGCTCTTGCAAGAGCATCTGCAACTTTAGAGGTTATTGTGAGACACATGTACCCCATCCACCTAAGGAGACCCGGAATGGAGAAGTCCCTATCCAAAATTCCTTCCCACTGCTACTTCTAGACATGTTGCTAGTCTGCTTTTTCTGGCCCAAACTGAAACCGGGAGCCACTCCACCTGGAGATGATACATGATTGCTGTGGTGGGGAAGTAGCTTTCCATTGCTCTTAGGCTGTCAACTGTGTTTTTAGCTAGAGAGCTAACCTCACTGTTGGGTGCAACTTTGTGCTGGCCTGAGGAACAGAGCAGGTGGCTTGAATCCAAGCCAGTGCTGGTGTGAGCAGACACACTGTATATGGATGCCTTGGGCTGGCCTCCATGTTCTTGGCTGCTGATACAAGAGACTGTAGGAGACGCTCTGCTGATAAGAGACACTGAAGTGAATCCTTTCCAATATTCTTTAAAAAATACGTACTCCAGAGCTTAACACACTGCCCTGAAATGGCATCACTAGTGCTAGACATACTGTTAATAAGCACACCACTGTGTTTGGTGTGCCTTTCTTTTAAACTTTCTTAGCTTTTTTCGTCATGTCTCTTTTAGCTGCATCATTCTGCTTAGAAAGCCACTTCTCTTGTCTTCTAAAATGGTTCTAAGTCCTGTTCAGGCTCATTGTCCCTTGTCTTGCAGGTGTGACTAGCCAGTTTTGCTCTTTAGCTATATGTGAATAGATGTATTAAAACACAAGATTCTTTTCATCTTGTTACCCGTACCAACCCCACCTGCTGTGTGACCTGTGCTGTCACTGTTCACCAGCTCCTTAGCCTTGATCACAACACAGTGGTTCCTTTTTGCATTGGGCCCTCATTCCTCGGGGCGCTAGAGCTGCACATCTGTCCATTTGATTAACATACATTCAAAAATGCTGCAGAAATGGAAGCTAATTCTGTTCAGAGCAAGAGGAGGAGGGCTCCTGGCTCAGGGGTGTCTTTGCCTATTTCTGTGACTATTTGCTGGATTCTTGTTTGCCGAGAAATGACTTACAGCCCATGTGAGACACAAACATCCCTTTATCACACAGCTTGTATCACCCTAATGGAATTCTGTCAGCTGAGGATAAAATGTGGACTAAGAAAGCAATTATAGAGTGAATCTCCTAGCTGCAGGAAGAGCTGAGAGATGGGGACAGAGTGCCCAGCTGGAGTAATTTCCTGTCTCACTGGCCTCTAAATCTTACTGGGAAGAGATCAATTTTCCTTTCCTAACAGCATCAGCTCCAGTCACCCTGGCTCAGGATCCTGTGAAATGCTGGAGTGTTGAGATCTAGGCATAAAAGGAATAATTTGAAAATTGCAACTTCTTTGTTATTGACCTAGAAATTACTGGAAAATGGGAAACCAAGGTTACAGACCTTCTGTCCGATCTCGCTATTTCCTTTCTTAACTTCCTGTTGAAGGAGAGGACTGATCATTCCAATGGTCCATAA